GCTTCCCGCACACACAACTTTTTGCTTTTCAGCTAAAGTTGATACAAACTATTTTATAAACATGCCATTAGTTAGCCAAGACCGTATCACCGTACTTCCACCACTTTATATTAACCTCGGCATCTTGAAACAGTCTGTGAAGGCGCTTGACAAAAGTAACGAATGTTATAATTAACTTTCATGAAAGTTTTCAGGATTAAGCACAGAAAACTTGAATGTTGGTAATTTTTGATGGGACTCACATTAGGCAACTGGTAAATGATCGTAATTTTACTAAATCAATGACTGAAGTCCAGTCCTAAGCTTAGAATTATTTTTTTTGGTTATAAGTAATTTCCTAAGCAAAAAGAAATTGTTGAGAGCATGCTATCCAACTTGCAAGAGCTAGGGTGCAACATGGGCATAAAAATACACTTCATGTACTCGCATTAACATCGATTTCCACAAAATGTGGGTGAGTTTAGTGAGGAGCAGGATAAAAGATGTCATTAGAATTTTCGGCCGATGGAAGAAGGTTATCAGGGGCGGTGGTGATCATATATGAATGGCAGACCATTGCTGGAGTTTGCAACGAGATCTACTCAAACTTGTCTATTCAAAGAAATCATATAAAAGATCATTTGCTAGTGTTCAATAGATATTTTATCAACACAATGTATAATTTTTCGTTTTTTTTTTGTCAAAATAATAAAGCTCTATATTTTAAAAAGTAAAGCTGTTGACGATCTCCCAGTATTTTTTTCATAATCAGGGCCATAGAAATACCCAATAACAGAAAAAAAATTAAAGGAAAAAAAACATGTGTTGACCAGCAGGGCTAAGATGNGGTTCTGGAGTGGAGGCCGGGTACTGGAATACGCAGCGTGGCACGTCCACCCACAAGGTGGACCGACAACATCACGCAGGCCGCTACCAACCAGGCAATAAATTCATTATTGCAGTGTAATTTCAAAATAATTCAACCATTATTTACAAAATCTTTATTTGGAAAACTTTTGTTTTACAATAGCTATTGATAATTTCAAACACTAACAGAATTCCATGAATTGGTTAGCCTAGCCANTTTGTAAAATAGCCACAGACACGCGTATAGCTGCTTTATTTGTGGGTCGAACGAAATACATATAGGTAATCTCATTGCCTTTATTTATTGTAAAGGAACAGGCGATAGCGTTATGAAATACATTTTTGTTGCATGCAAAATAATCGCTTCCTATTAAGTGCACTGTGCATAGGCGGTCAGTATCATATGTGACGTAGCTCCTGTGCTGGTCATCTTTTATTATACTTTTATCATAATTATGTTAAATTATAACGTTACAGGTTATCCTGCATTCGGAGAAATGTTGAACAAGACTGGTCGTCCCATACTGTACTCCTGCAGCTGGCCAGCGTATCAGGAGGATGCTAAGATGCTGGTAGATATCATACTTTTTTAATTAAGCATTATTTCATCATCATCACCTACATTTCAGCCACAGGACATCCATAGGCCTCAACCAATAATTTCCAGATTAACCGGTTCGTGGCGGCCTGCATCCAACGCCTTCCGGCTACGTTTGTGAGGTCTTCTGTCCACCTTAAATTGTGGTGGGTGGACGTCTCACGCTGCATTTCATTAAGCCATTTGAGCTTGTGCAAATGCTCATTTGGCCGAGCCCCTCATGTGGAGACTCCTGAGTTCTTGACGTGGCCTCCACTCCAAAACCTTGCTGTCCCATCAGTTGTCAGTTCCTGCTACTGCTGCCTGTACCGTACTAATATGTGCCCTATCCATTGCCTCTTCAGCTCGTTAATCTGTCGCCTTATTTACTTTTTATTCTTATACCTGTTCCGTACTAATATGTGCCCTACTCATTGCCTCTTCAGCTTATTAATCCGTCGTCTTATTTTTTTATTCTTAAAACATCTTCACAGCCGGACTACGCGTCGATCGCTAAGCACTGCAACCTCTGGCGCAACTGGGACGACATCGAGGACTCCTGGGCGTCCGCGTCCAAGATCATGGATTGGTTCGGCGACAACCAGGACCGATTAGCTCAGCACGCTGGCCCGGGGCATTGGAATGACCCGGACATGGTGAGATAAACCTTTCATGAATCTATTTGGCTTTGTATGATAATGTAACTACATCCAATGTTTTTGAAAATACAATTTTAACAACTTTGTAGGCAGTGGCGTAGCGTGTTAAGGGCCCCATTTAAAAAAGATCACAAAAGATCATGGAAACCCTTTTCTTTAATGAAAAGGGTCAAAATCAAAGTCTGAAAAAGTCCAGCCATGGGGGCCCATGTAGTCCGGTGGATCATTGATACGGCTGATACGGCTGTTTGTAGTTGTTGACACACTTAACTCCTACCTAAGTATTACATCGAAAAATAATTCACAAACAATTAAACGTTGTCTTACACTATGAAAATTTGATTCTAAGCCTTAGATACTTTGAGATACTTATTTTAATTCTGTTTTACGCAATATTTTTTTTGGCAGTTCAAACTTCAAAATAATAAAAGTATACTTAGCAGTGTTCAAGGACATGAACTTAGAACCTGGACATGGTGAATTGCTTCTTTTTCCATTGAGCGGGCGTTAATAACCCTGCTTTTTCTGGCATTTAATATCAAGATCCTTGACAAAGACCAAAAGCTGAACTCCTTCATTCTTATACATTCAGATATCTCTTTACAGCTGTTGATAGGTAACTTCGGCCTTTCCGAAGACCAGGCCAAGACCCAAATGGCAGTATGGGCAGTGCTTGCTGCGCCTCTGCTCATCAGCGCCGACTTAGCCACCATGAAGCCGGAGTTCAAGAGGATACTCCTCAACAAGGACATCATCGCTGTCAATCAAGACAAGCTGGGGAAACAAGGACTTAGGGTTTGGAAGGTATACAAAAAGAATCCATATTTTTCTTTGGTCACAGAATACACGCGTGAATGGCTGGACCGATTTCTCTAATTTTTTTTGTTGTGTTTGTTAATGTTGTTAATGTCAGGAGAAGGTAGTAGTAGTAGGATGTAAAAAAATAAGAAAATCCCAATCTACCACGAGCATTGGAAAACATAGAAGTGTGCCATAAAACATTAAAATTTATGTAGGTACCTAAGTAGGTAGGTGAGTAAGTGGGTATTTACATTACATGAATAATAACAGTAAAAATATTAAATACAAAAAACCCACTGCGCATTTGTTTCTAAAAAGGCAAACTTTTTAACCTTTCATCCTAAAATACTCGTAATCTATTTGACGATCGTCTGTGACTAATTGAAGAATATGGCGGTTATGAGTAATCAAATATCTCATCTAAATCAATTCGCAGGTTAAAAAAGGTCATAACTATACAATGAAAGAAACAAGCAAAATATTTTAAATAACTTTTGTCACTTCAACTTTATGTAGTCAGATGAATAACTCAGGGTTACAAAAGATGTGAAGGAAGACTCTATTCATAGATAGTTCTTTTTAATCTATAATCTTATTGTGCGTCATTTTAGACCACCATTTCCGTTTCCATGTCTAAAATTGCATTTTTTTTCCTCAGCAAAGGAACATATCGGTGTGGAACAGAGAACTGTCGGATGGTGAGCGAGCACTAGCCTTCGTTAGCCAGCGGGAAGACGGCATACCCTACGCCGTCAGCTTGACCTTCAAGGATATGCAGCTGTCTGAACAAACCTACGAAGTGCAGGTAGGAATCTCCAACTTTCATGACGGCGATATATTAGAACTTGCCAGCCAGTGCTATTATTTAACTGCGCTATCAAAGCCAAAAATATCAGTTATAAGTACAGAATATAGAAGAGTTTTTTTGGTTTGTTTTAAACGCCTATCATTTTACTTTTGCAACTTTTCTTAAAAGGGAAACGCACCAACATCTTAAGGCGTTTCAAAGAGAATTCCACAGCTTTGATTCTAATTTTATAAAAATTGATAACTTAGATTTAACATAGATTTTATTATTTCTAATAAAGGTTCTATAAATATTTACAGGATTTATACAACGAAGAAAATTCTCGCACAGTAAGTCCTGGCGAAGAGTTCAACGTTCGTATCAATCCATCAGGTAAGTTACATAAAAATAAAAAACTGGTCTACTGTTAAGTAAGTTAATTAAAATGTAATAAATATGTTTTTCAAAGCGTTATCTTGACCGTAAAGCTTTTCTTTAAATACTAGTTTTTACCCTGTAACGAAATACTTACCTATTGTTTGCTTTTTCAGGAGTGAAGTTCTACAAATTCATCCCAAAGAACAAGGTCCTGGGCTCTGTACAAGCAAAGCAAATACTCAACTCAAATGTATTTAATAACGAAATAAATAATAAGCATTAGTTTCACAATAACTTGTTTTATTTACAACACAATGACTATATTTTTGTACGTTTAGTTAGTTGACTGTTATGGTACCCGCGCTGCAGATTTCATAGAGTTTTGCAGTTGTGGTTGCAATATGCGGTCTGCGGCCCGTCTTGGAATTGTACCTTTAGTTTAGGTGGTGGTTGTTACACTGCACACGAATGAATGAATCAATAATCAATATTACATCTTTATTCTCGACATATCCAATATTATTCAATTTCATAGTAGATATTCGTAGAATCTCGCTAGAAGCTGGTCAGTCACTGGTTGTGGATATTATTGTTTGATTGTTTACTTTTAGTTTGTTATATTAAAATTTCTTAGCGACTAAAGTCGCTTCTCAAACTAAATTTCAAGATGAGATCGTGGGTTCGATTCCCGCCTTAGGCAGTTCGATTTTTTTCAATTTGTTTATTTAAAAACTAAAATTTAGGATAACTTATTTTTTCTTAGTTGGAGTTTTCCCCTATTTCTTGAAGAAATATAAATGTAAACAATTTAATTCAATTTGATTAAAATGTAACAAATACGATATCTTGATGTAAGTAACGCAAAAAAAAAAAACGTCATAGACAGCTGCTGATGACACGTGTCACACGTGACAGCTCTTAAAATTCTCTCTCCGGCACTCACTGTCAAAAAAAATTAACACGAACTCGAGTAATTAAATTAAATAAGTGCGTTATTTATATCTAAAATCTCAAGAAAAGTGAATTTTAATAAAAACTTTAATCACTTTAAGTGATAAGACCATGCGTACTGGTTTCCGGTCGACGACTGTTTAAATTCATAACTCACTCGTATGCGTGTGAAAGAAAGCTGGTTATTGGTCTCGTTGTAGGTCAATGATGTACCGGTAGCGTCGGGATTGCTTACGTAGAAACGACCAGACGGGTCTCCAGCGGAGTGTGGCGGGGCGCATCAGTCCGCGTCAGTTACCGTGCGGTTAACACGTCCCTACTTAACTTGCCGATTCACGCGTAACAGCGCGTTTCCTAGTAACCTTGATCGTGAAAGTTATCGCGTAAACAGCAACCATGGGTGGCCGAGTTGAGAACGTTGGCATTCTGGCTATGGAATTGTACTTCCCGTCACAGTACGTCGATCAGAACGAGTTGGAGAAATTCGATGAAGTGTCCACGGGAAAATACACGATCGGGCTCGGCCAGAGCAAGATGGGATTCTGCAGCGACCGGGAAGACATCAACTCCATCTGCCTCACAGCACTCCACAGGCTGATAGAGAAGAATAACTTAGATTTACATGATATAGGACGCCTGGAGGTCGGTACTGAGACTATTATTGATAAAAGTAAAAGTGTCAAAACTTTCCTCATGACCTTGTTTACAAAAGTAGGTGCCACAGATATTGAAGGGATTGATACTACTAATGCCTGCTATGGAGGCACTGCTGCTCTCTTCAATGCAATCAATTGGATAGAATCATCATCATGGGATGGCAGAAAGGCTATAGTGGTGGCTGGAGACATTGCAGTGTATGGCAGGGGTCCTGCCAGGCCCACAGGAGGTGCTGGCGCCGTAGCCATGCTGGTCGGACCAAATGCACCTTTAGTCTTTGACAGAGGAGTACGAGCTTCATACATGACACATGCATACGACTTTTACAAGCCAGATCTAGCATCAGAATTCCCATTGGTTGATGGTAAACTATCAATCAAGTGCTACCTCAGTGCTTTAGATAATTGTTACAACTTATTTTCAAAGAAAATGAGGAGAACTGATCCAAGCTTTAAAGGATTGCTGAGTTTAGACGGTATGCTATTCCACTCACCGTATTGCAAATTGGTGCAGAAGTCATTAGCACGAGTTTGTTTTAATGATTTTTTGAATTTGTCTCCTGAAGAACGTGAGAAGCAATTTCCAGGATTGTCTAAGTTTAGCAACTATAAGTTAGAAGAGACATACTTTGACAGAGATGTGGAGAAAGCCTTCATGACATACAGTGAAACATTATTTAATGAAAAGACAAAACCATCATTACATATAGCAAGAAATGTAGGTAATATGTACACGCCGTCATTGTACGGAGGACTTTTATCGTACCTTATTAGTAAATCTCCAGATCAGTTAGTGGGGAAGAAGTTTGCTTTGTTCTCTTATGGATCTGGCCTGGCTTCGACGATGTACTCCATAAATATATGCAACGATATGAGCGCTGGTTCAAAATTAGCAACATTAATCAGTTCCTTGCATGACACTGTTTCGATGTTGGATAAGAGAGAGTGTGTTGATCCTCAAATATTTACGGATATCATGGATGTGAGAACAAAGAATTACCATACCGCACCATACCAGCCATCAGGGTCCATAGATATCTTATTCCCCGGTACATACTACCTCGTTGACATTGATGACCAAAGAAGACGTACTTATGAACGTAAAGTTTAAGTTATCTTAGTTTAGTATAATTGAGTTGGGTGTAGATATTGACATGGTGTTGGAGAAATGATTGACTTCTGTGTAATTAGAATAGTTCATTTGAAGGATATACAATTTTAATGATTTATTTGTGCAAAATGTGTTTGTTTGTTAATTTGGTATAATTAATAACAAGTTTCTTGGTAATTCCAGTTTTCTAATAGACCACAAATAAGATTACATAATGTCTCTAAAACAATTACATGATGTTGATGTCATAGAACCCTAATTATTTTTATATAATGACGTAAAAAATGATTCATTTTAAAAATATTTATGATAGGGACCTAATGCATTTTTACTATTAATATAAGCAGGCATTATATTGATTGTACTTGGCTACTGTATAATTTTTGTTGAAGATTGTCTAATGATTGTTTATCCTTTATAATTTTTTAATTGTATTTCTGATTAGTTTGCTAATCACATACAATTTGGAACTTGATATCCAAGAAATGAAATCCATATATTGGGTTGAAAATTATATTATATTTATGCATTTTTGAGTTTTAATAAATTGTTTTATTGGTGCTCAGTTTACTGTTTTATTGGAAATTCTATGAATTCCTTATTTTTGTTTCTACTTTTTTACTGTTATAATGTGCCCATTATTCATTATCTCTTATTTATCCATATCCAAATAAGTATTTATAACTAACTTGTATTATCATCTAACTTGTAAATAGTTGCCATTGCCATGTCGTCACTATGGAAAAAACCACACTTTTTAAATATTTTCCACTTTTTTTGGTCCAAAACTATTGTTTTGTACTATCCACAAACAGGTTGTAGATAGGTATTTAAAACTTTTTTGATTGAGTTCTCACATTTTCTAGAAAATGTAGGTAGGTCATTCATATTCAACTTTTCTATGAGAAAATAATAATCATATTCATAGATGTGCCAATAGTTTTTGTAAATAAATGGCAACTTGTAGGTAGATAAGTAAGTATTTTAAGATCCCAAGGCCGCAGCCGGTTAAACCAGAAATCTATTTTTTCGGGCCCTTCAAATTAGAGGTAAATTATATTTGTTGTAACATTAAAAGGTAACCTTTGTCCTGGTAAATTCATCATGATCAAGATCTTGCGTGCCTAATGCTAGGAGTAGGTACTACTATTCTGTGGTAAAAGTGACACATCTTGACACATTTAATTTCGAGAAGCAATCCAATACAAAAAATCTGCTTTACTTATTCGTATTTCATACATAAGTAATACAGGCTAAATTGCCTACTACCACAAAATCTACTACATTGGGCCGGCCGGGCCCTTTATAGTCCACTGCTGGACTAAGTATGAGCCTCCTCCACTTTAGTGGAGGGTTTGGCCATAAACTCCTTGCTTGCCAGGCAGGTTAGAGATAGCAATTTAAAAGATTAATGCTTCAGATGGCTTCAGACAATGCTGCTGCCCGTTCTCTCTTTAACGTAAGTCGCCTCTTACAGATCTCATCTCGCAGATCTCATTAAGTATTTGCTCAGAATACTGAGTCATAAAGAGCGATATCTACTTGTTAACTTTGTGCAAGTATTTGTTCTGTGTCATTATGCACTTTGTAATTCCTGCCACGTGGTGGTGAAGTGAAATCTGTTTGTTCGTCTCGCGATGATAATTATGCGAAGTGACCTTTAGACACGCATCAGTAATGTTATTATAGGTTCCTACGTAAAGGAAACGATCACTATAACAATAGATACTTATAATGATGAACACGGCTTTTAAGGCGATTAGGTTTCTTAACCAATGCTATCTGGCATAGTGGTTTGAAAGTTTGAACCAGACTTCGTCAGACATCGCGGGTTCAATTCCCGCGCAATAGACAGAGCAGTAAATAAACAATAGGAAGGAATAGCAACCGAAGTTGATTTAGGTAAAAGAAAGTGACATCATCATCATCATTTTTCATTAGCAATTGAGCCTATTTCTACAATATTGGCTTATTGATTAGCTACTACAGTACAGTTGGTTAGTAGTATTCTGTGCTACTACTTTATTTACATTTTTACATCATGTAACTAAAATTGTATGTCCAGTAATTTTGTTAGTAAAACGGTAATATCTTAAAGTTATTAGGTCCCTTGATAAAATTCCAATGAATGTTGATAGTTCAGTTTCCGCACAATTTATCACTACAGTCTGCACTAGAAACAAACAAGTTATCTAATTAATGTCTTGTCTTAGTTTATTTCTTAGAGATAATTAATACAATACCTATAATAACTATTGCGATTTCTCGAACACAAAGGAGTCCATTATAATTAGATCTAAAATATTAAAGTAGATAGTTAGGTAGTTTTACATAGAGGCAATACACCATTTCTCAAGTGGGTATTTCCTTCATGAAAACTGATTATGCCACTACAAAAGGATTCGAACCCTGACCTTGTTTTAAGAATACTCGATTGATTAACAAAAGACAGGAAACATCAGAAGTGTCGTAAGTTCTTTTGTATTTACTATCAGTTATCAGACACTGAAGTTTAAAGATAAAATCGTTTTAGTATTGGTTGGGGTATTTATAATTTTATTTGGTACAAAAAAGTGCCAAGGTGTTCCCACTAACCCCCATTTACTATACCGGATTAGACTGGATTGTACCATCTTACTTTAACTTTAACCAACGTCAAAACTTCAAAATTTTTCAAACTCTATACAAAAAACATTGCATAATGTTATAGTTACTGTCAAAGTAAGATGGTGCAATTCGCCTAAGACCTTAACCCATTCCTCCCCACTGTCCTATTTTTAAGACACCATATTCAACATTTTTTTTAAACATCTTAGGTTGTTTATTTTTATTGTTTCTGACAAAATTCGTATTCCTGCACCGTTTTTCTGATAAAATATATTTTTATGCGGCAAAAAGGGTATCCATTATTTTAATGTAATTTTTTCAAAATGTCATCTTTGTTGCCTCAAAAAGAAGCATCATTTTCTGATTTTATATACCATAATATAAAAAACTTACCAGCTCCAATTTACATAAAACTGATTCTTAGACCTCTACCAAATATATAAAAAAATAAAACATAAACAAAACATAATTTAAAAACTTGTGGTAATGTTTTAAAATAAGCCGTACTATAAATATGACACTGGGAACATGTCTATACAATTTGCCGCGAAAGCATTTTCGGATCTGCAACGATAAGCACTAGTTCAAACGTGTCAATTGTTTGTTTCTGGCGGGTCTTGTGTTTAGATTACTCAAAAGGTCTCTGCCGAACAGATATAAAGAAAACTGTAGTGATGAGGAGTTGGACGATAATAAAGTAGCCATATTACCTCCGGACGAAGTGGACAAAATGACTGACATGGAAGAAGGTTCTGGCGACTTCTTCTCGTAATCCAGTATATTCTGAAATTCAGCTGGTATCTAATACGGCAAAACAATGTTTGGGAAAGATGATTACAGAGTTGGACGGAAAATCAACGAAAGAAATATTCGAAAACTTCAAATATTTCTATCGTTGACTTTCGTCCAACTCTGTAATCAATAGATATTATCTTCAGCTTCAGAGGCAAAAAACGGTATTGGCCTTAGTCATTCGTGTTTTAGACATGCCCCTAGTGAATGCATGGATTATTTATTATTTACAACGAGGTAAATAAAGATGAGACATTGGAATCTAGAAAGATTTCAAGCGTAGGGTTTTTTCTTGGATAAAAAAATCGGGAGGCAAGGCAAGCAAACCTGCACCAGGTAAATATAAACGCCTTTTACAACTGAAGGTTTGTCAATATGATCAATATTGACGACTATAATTGACGAAGAGGGACAAATAGAGGCATTGCCAGGGAGAAGATTGTAAAAAAAAACTCTTATTTTTTACGCTAAATGTGAAAAAAACACTCTGCAGTGATTGTTTTATACCTTACCATACAAAATAAGTTCCTAAAACTTTATGTTTAAAGCTGTTTACGGACAAATTTTCAAATACTGCTAATTTTCTTATAATTGTTATCATTTATTATTTCTGATCACATGTCCCCACTGTCATATTTATAGGACAGGCTGACTCAGCATTAAAGGTACTATTTTTTTATTTTTTTTGTTTTTAGTATTTTTTCTTAGCCTATTATGAACTTAGTTTCAAGATTTGATCAAAAAATTCCAAAGATTTCGATGCTTGGGAAGTAATGGGTTAAGACCGCCTGCTCGAATCGTTTGCCTCAGTCTGTCCCATACTTAAATAAAAAAACTTACTTTGATTCTACTTTACTTAAAAGGTAACTATGCTGTTTTTATGTGCACGAAAAGTCTATTAAGTACATACCTACTTACATACGTAGTTATGACTCTCATAAAATATCTATTAATAAACCAAAGTTTTATTAAAAAAACATTTCACACATTTACAGCCTTTACAGCTAAGTAAGTGTTATGTTTATGTTGCAAGCAATGAGCAACAATTAGACATGCTGTCTTGCTAAAAGGAATATAACAATAACTAATTATACTTAGTAGGTATTTGTGGTGGTTTTAAAGCATTTCCCGTTTGTGACACGTTCCTAAAATTTTAAAAGAAGTTAATATTTGGTACTCACCGGAAATAATCTTCCTTATACAACACCAAACTAAGTTTTAATAAAGTAAAGTAACACAGGCAAATGATTCAAATAAAGCAAAACTTTGTGAGGAGTTTCATATCGCCGCTGAAGCTTTCCTCAAAAATCGACTGAACTTTTTATGAAACTACTTAATATTATTTACCTACTGATAGGCTCTAAGTAGTTCCGTAAATTATATTTATAGATTTTGCACGCAATGATCTTGCGGGTGTTCATAGGTCAATAAATAAATTTATAAATAATAACGCAGTTGTTATATCACGCTCACTATTGCGTCAAACTATAAAGTACTATAACTTATCGAAGAAAATGATCAATTACAATTTGTTATCGTGCTGATAAATCATTGTAAAATAACTAAAATATCGAAGCTTACACCGTTTACAACAGAGCATTAAATGTAGAGACTTCCTGTTTTTTTCGAAATACGCAAGTGCGCATGAAATAGTCATTAAAAAGGTTTTTTTTAAATATTTTCACGTACACTTTTTTGCAGTCCAATTTTATTGGGATTTATTAAACAAATGGGTATTGGCTGATTTTATATTTAAATTACAAATGAATTTAAAGTTGCTACAACTTGATGTTTCGTACCTCTCTACCTACCTAGCTATTTACTAAAATTAGGTAAGTACCATGTTCTTATAATACGAGTACCTACCTAGCCAGCTTTTTATCACAAAAATATTTCCCCTACGTATAATTTTATTGCTTACTACACCTTTATCTGTTTATTTCCATAATAAACCAGTATGATTCTGATAATTTGATAAAGAATGCATGTATAAAAGACGATTATATCCTAAACTATTATCGTTGATCCAAAACCAGCCGGTGAGTTGATTGAATTTTTTATTCCTGGTATAGTTTGTCTTAAAAACCTTGCTAACGTAAAATAAAAGAAATAATGAAGAATTAATTAAACATAATTAATTAAATTAAATCTCAGTCTCTGTTCATTTCCAATTTCCATTTCATTCAAATATAAACAATCACTTTATAAAGCATCAAACGTCAAAGAGAAAGTGCGATCGTGCTATTTAACAAATAAACGTTACCTGCCAGATAACTATCCTATAAACGTGATCGGCTTATATACTTATAGTTGTTTTTACAGAGCCAAAAAATGAAACTGTTAATCGCCCTCGCCGCCCTCGTGGCCGTCTCGGTCGCCGTGCCCTTCAAGCCGGCAGACAGTCTGGATGCCGAGCTGGACGCCATCGTCGCCGCCATCCAGAGCCCTAACACCGACCCTGCCACCGCCGCCCTTCTGGAACAACAGCTCCACGAGATCATCGCCGCCCTTTCCCCCGAAATCGTCGCCTCCCCCATCCTCGTCGAAGAAGAGGCTCAAGGACCCCAAGTGCCCGACGTCATCCCCGAAATCATCAACATCCCCGACTTGGGAGAACCCAGCCCCATCGTGGTTCCTACCCCCGTCGCTCCCTCCAGCTCGGCCCTCGTTCAGATCATCGTGAACGTAAAGAACTCCGCTGACGTCGGCGTCGCCCCTATCGTGCCTGCCCCCATCGTGGTTTCTCCCATTGAGGCTTCCCCCATCCAGGTTGTGGAGGAATCCTTCGACAACAACCCCATCGAGGCTTCCCCCATCCAGATTGTGGACGTCGCTCCCGTCCCTGCGGAGCCCGTGCTCATCGCTGAACCGATTGCCCCAATTCCCGTTGTCAACATCCCTGGCATCGGATACTAAACGACTTTAACTGGACTGTAAAAGGAAAGAATTAAGAACTCAGTCCACTGGAGTGACTGGAGGAGTCTNTAAATACTTCACTTAAAAAAACTTTCACAAATTGTCTAAAATTTCGGTGTGCCTATTGGCCTTTGCCAATATTAATTGGCCTCCTCCAACTCCTTCCATTGCCTTCTGTCCTCCGCCACTCTCATCCATAGAGGTCCTGCGGTCAACCTCAATTCATCCTCCCATCTTAAAGCATTGCGACCTCGGTTTCTGGCGCTATCTCTTGGGTACCACACTGTCAACCGTTTACACCACTTCTTGTTACAGCGTAGCATATGTCCCGCCATGGTCCCGCCCACCTCCATTTGAGTTGATCGATGCGTGTCAGGATGTCTGTTAGTTTCGTTTTGCACCTGATGTCTGTATTTCTGGTCTTGTCCATTAGTTTCAATCCTAGCATGCTCCTTTCCATTCGTCTCTTACATCATGTACTTAACTAAAATTGTATGTCCAGCAAATGTCCAGTAATTTTATTAGTAAAACGGTAATATCTTAAAGTTATTAGGTCCCTTGATAAAATTCCAATGAATGTTGATAATTCAGTTTCCGCACAATTTATCACTACAGTCTGCACTAGAAACATAAACAAGTTATCTAATTAATGTCTTGTCTTAGTTTATTTCTTAGAGATAATTAATACAATACCTATAATAACTATTGCGATTTCTCGAACACAAAGGAGTCCATTATAATTAGATCTAAAATAATAAAGTAGATAGTTAGGTAACTACCTACTTTATTATTACATAGAGGCAATACACCATTTCTCAAGTGGGTATTTCCTTCATGAAAACTGATTATGCCACCACAAAAGGATTCGAACCCTGACCTTGTTTTAAGAATACCCGATTGATTAACAAAAGACAGGAAACATCAGAAGTGTCGTAAGTTCTTTTGTATTTACTATCAGTTATCAGACACTGAAGTTTAAAGATAAAATCGTTTTAGTATTGGTTGGGGTATTTATAATTTTATTTGGTACATAGAAGTGCCAAGGTGTTCCCACTAACCCCCACTTACTATACCGGATTAGACTGGATTGTACCATCTTACTTTAACTTTAACAAACGTCAAAATTTTGTCAAACTCTATACAAAAAACATTGCATAATGTTATAGTTACTGTCAAAGTAAGATGGTGCAATTCGCCTAAGACCTTAAGACCGCCTGCTCGAATCGTTTGCCTCAGTCTGTCCCATAAATAAAAAAACTTACTTTGATTCTACTTTACTTGAAAGGTAACTATGCTGTTTATGTGCACGAAAAGTCTATTAAGTACATACCTACTTACATACGTAGTTATGACTCTCATAAAATATCTATTAATAAACCAAAGTTTTATTAAAAAAACATTTCACACATTTACAGCTAAGTGTTATGTTTTTGTTGCAAGCAATGAGCAACAATTAGACATGCCTTGCTAAAAGGAATATAACAATAATTAATTATACTTAGTAGGTAGGTATTTGTGGTGGTTTTAAAGCATTTCCCGTTTGTGACACGTTCCTAAAATTTTAAAAGAAGTTAATTTGGTACTCACCGGAAATCATCTTCCTTAAACAACCCCAAACTAAGTTTTAGTAAAGTAAAGTAACACAGGTATGTTTCAAATAAAGCAAAACTTTGTGAGGATACAGTTTCATTTCGCCGCTGAAGCTTTACTGAAAAAGGGACTGAACTTTTTATGAAAACATATAATATTATTTACCAACTGAGAGGCTCTAGTTCTGTAACTTACGATTTAAGACTTAGCACGCAATGATCTTGCGGGTATTCATAGGTCAATAAATAAATAGTAACGCAATTGTCCAAGTGTCTGTGCAAATATTGATGTAATTAGTTGATGGTGAACCTAAATTAATAAATAACGCAGTTGTTCTATCACGCTCACTAATGTATGTGACAAACTAATAAAGCATAAGTACTTATCAAAGAAAATGATCAAATTACAATTTGTTATCGTGATGATAAATAATTGTAAAATATCGAAGTTTAGCACCGTTTACAACACAGCATTAAATGTAGAGACTTCCTGTTTTTTTCGGAATACGCAAGTGCGCATGAAATTAGTCATTAAAAAAGTTTTTTAAAAATATTTTCACATTCACTGCAGTCCAATTTTATTTCAATTTATTGGGAAAATAATTGATTTAATATTTAAAATACAAAAATGTATTAATTTGCTACAACTTGATGTTCCGAACCTCTCTACCTACCAACTATAAAGCTATTTACTAAAACTAGGTAGGTACTATGTTCTTACCTAAATAGTTTTTATCAAAAAAATATTTCCCCTACGTATAATTTTATTGCTTACTACACCTTTATCTGTTTATTTCCATAATAAACCATTATGATTCTGATAATTTGATAAAGAATGCATGTATAAAAGACGATTATGTCCTAAACTAGTATCGTTGATCCAAAACCAGCCGGTGAGTTGACTTATTATTCCTGGAATAGGTTGTCATAAAAACCTTGCTAACGTAAAATAATTAAAAATTAATTAAACATAGTTAAATTAATTAATCTACCTATTGTACATCTTGAAGAAATTTCAATCTCAGTTCATTTTCAATTTCCATTTCATTCAAATATAAACAATTACTTTATAAAGCATCAAACGTCAAAGAGAAAGTTTTAGGGCCAGTTTTACCAGTTCTTGATAAATTATAGTTTACGACATCGTGCTATTTAACAAATAAACGTGCTGATTGCGACTTTACCTGCCAGATAACTATCCTATAAACGTGATCGGCTTATACTTATAGTTGTTTTTACAGAGCCAAAAAATGAAACTGTTCATCGCCCTCGCCGCCCTCGTGGCCGTGTCAGTCGCCGTGCCCTTCAAGCCGGCAGACAGTCTGGATGCCGAGCTGGACGCCATCGTCGCCGCCATCCAGAGCCCTAACACCGACCCTGCCACCGCCGCCCTTCTGGAACAACAGCTCCACGAGATCATCGCCGCCCTCTCCCCCGAAATCGTCGCCTCCCCCATCCTCGTCGAAGAAGAGGCTCAAGGTCCCCAAGTGCCCGACGTCATCCCCGAAATCATCAACATCCCCGACTTGGGAGAACCCAGCCCCATCGTGGTTCCTACCCCCGTCGCTCCCTCCAGCTCGGCCCTCGTTCAGATCATCGTGAACGTAAAGAACTCCGCTGACGTCGGCGTCGGCCCTATCGTGCCTGCCCCCATCGTGGTTTCTCCCATTGAGGCTTCCCCCATCCAGGTTGTGGAGGAATCCTTCGACAACAACCCCATCGAGGCTTCCCCCATCCAGATCGTGGACGTCGCTCCGGTCCCTGCTGAGCCCGTGCTCATCGCTGAACCTATTGCCCCCATTCCTGTTGTCAACATCCCTGGCATCGGATACTAAACGACTTTAACTGGATTGTAAAAGGAATTAATTAAGAACTCAGTCCACTGGAGTGACTGGAGGAGTCTGAAAACGTTACTCAACACCACAAAGCACAACTTCTTTATTTTTAGTAAATATATTTTAATATTTTTGTAAATAAGTAGAGCATTTTATTTAAACCATGCCCCAAGTCTGTAAATCTGAAATATGGTAGTACACTAGTACATTATCTATTTGCAGAATAAAAGAACACTGTCGCTTTCCTTTCCTCCTTTTTTAAAGATTCATGAAATGCAAATAAATCTACAACAAACTCTAAATAAAAGTTTCATTTTGCGGCCAGGAAACTCTACATCTTAGTAACCTTCGTTTGTTATTCACACTGTCCTATGCTGTGCGCCAACATAATATGGGTTATTATTACCCAGCACAGTGAACTTTTGAGCTAGTGCAATAGGAAAATGAATGAGCTATGCAATAGGTAACCTATGGTAGTAGTCCAGTCAATGAATGCCTTAACGACGGTGTAGAGAGAAATTCGTGGAACACAATTTCTGACCTCGGGACTTTATTTAGCCTAGTTAGGAGGTGAACATAGCAAAAGTCCCCGCCCTTAGCCCTTGAGCCGGCAGGGAGAGGGGGGTTTAAAGGTACCACTTTTCGGTTTTTCGCTTAATCCTCGGAAACTATGCGTCCTAGTGACATGACTACTATGAACCAAATAAAGCTTATTCAATTTGCTACTACCTTTCTAATACTGGATGCAAACTACCTTTCTGGATGCAAAATTTGAACCTTCGAGGTCATCTGGAAGTGGTTAGAATTTGGTCTATAGGTCAGACATGTAGATTTTTGGACGTCAATACCTAAAGAACCGTTTAAGGCATATTTATGAAATTTGAAGCTGATGTATATCTTGCAAGTCTCAACATATGAGCCAAATTTGAAGTGTTAATGCACAGTAGTTTTTGAATGATGAGGAGTCAAAAGTGGCTACAATTGGTTCGTCTAAATATACGCACGGTGCAGTCCCCTCCCTGGAACTAGGCTTAACATGCTCCCGCATGTCTATAGTGTTTGCTCAATGTTGATTTAGTCGATTTTCTCCTGATAGAAACACATAAGACAAAAATAAAATTTCCAATTTTACAGACCTTCTAGAGCAGATGCCGCAAAAACTATACAAGATTAGAAAAACTTAGACGGTCTCGCCTGTAGCAAATTGAATAATCTTTATTTGGTTCATAGTAGTCATGTCACTAGGACGCATAGTTTCCGAGGATTAAGCGAAAAACCGAAAAGTGGTACCTTTAAACCCCCCTCTCCCCGCCGGCTCAAGGGCTAAGGGCGGGGACTTTTGCTATGTTCACCTCCTAACTAGGCTAAATAAAGTCCCGAGGTCAGAAATTGTGTTCTACAGTTTTCCATCTATAATGCTTTATTGACTGGACTATAGGCGTCACCTAGACTATCAATTTATTGATTTCAAAGTGTTACCTACTATAAATCGAATTTTAGCGAATTGAAAACTAAGGCTAGGGTGCATGCATGCATCTTACTTTAACTTTAACAAACGTCAAAAATCTGTCAAATACCATACAAAAAGCATCGGTTATCGTTATAGTTACCGTTAAAGTTAGGTGGTGCAACTCAGCCTAACTGTTCAGGGTTAGAATAAAGTGATTTTTGTTAGTAGTTGTGTGTAAAGTTATTTTTATTAGTAGGTCTTGGCTTGGTTAAATGGTGTCAACTGCCTAACTGTGCGGCACAACGTAGAGTTTGTTATCTATCTACGAGTACCTACCTACTTACTAAGCTATTGACGTTATTAGTCAAAGTCCATCACACACGCATAATGACACGCACTCACTATAAAATTTACAGTCGAGCAATATACTTATTTTGTTTCTTTTTTTTATGTAACTAACTACAATCATGGGAAACAGTTTCATCGGTTTCTTATGTCGCCCGTTGCCCGTTTTCACCATCAATCCCTAGCGTTTCCTAAATAAGTAGGTACCTATCATTTTAATATAAGTTACTAACATAGTTATATATAGCACTATAATAGTTAAGGATAGTTAAACTATCCTCTAAACTTTAGAGGATAGTTTAACTAAAATGATAGTTAGAGTTGACAGTTTAGAGTCTAAACTGTCAACCCTAGCATTTCCTAAATAAGTAGGTACCTATCATTTTAATATACTACTAACATAGTTATATATAGCACTAAAATAGTTAAGGATAGTTAAACTATCCTCTAAACTTTAGAGGATAGTTTAACTAAAATGATAGTTAGAGTTGACAGTTTAGAGTCTAAACTGTCCCCTAACTTAAGTTCGTTTTCACTTATATTCAGCAGACCTTATAATGCGATAATGTTGAGAGGCGTACCAATAAGAGCTTATAATTAAACTTCGAGTTGTAAGTGATTAGTCGATGTTAGTAAGTGAAGTGATAAACATTTTAATAAGTGTTTGTTGGATTTAATTTTTCCTGAAATAACTTACCGATCAACATTTTTCTATTTCCCGTCTTTGGAACTTCTGAATTTGTTAAAACAAATTGTCCTTTTCAAATAATCACATTAATTGACCCACAGAATAACTTAGGTAAATACATACACTCGAAAAACATAACCCTCCATTTGGCGCAGTCGGTTAAAAATATCTCTCTTTTTATCCGACTGCGCCAGAAGAAGGGTTTTGGATAAGTCTAAATTGCGCATTTTAATCAAATAGAAGTTCAGCATTTTGCGTTATTTTCGTGCATTTTAAATACACAATAATGGCGCCCTTTTTCTCCTGGTACAAAGTTTTGATAAAATAGTGAAACTTAGCCGAATAGGGACTCTACAGTCTACACCCAACTCTCCCGTGAAAGAATAAAGAATTTGATACACTTGATCATTATGCGAGCTGCATTTACTTTGGACCTGACCACAGAGCGCAAGAAGTGAGACAAAACTTCAGGCCTGTAACATAGTGTAGCGTGGGGTCAGGGAGTTGAAAACAGGTCAAATCTGCGATTTCCTGACGAAAAAAAAACAAAGAAATGTGAAATCTTCGACTTGTTTTTTTAATAACTAATATTCCCGTCAACCTCTACAGCTATTAAGCTAGATAGGTAAGTAATACTCGTATGTTGTCTTAGGAGTGGGTTCATTATAGTCTAGCAGACGACGTGGTTCGAGTAATAAGAGAGGGAGAGATCTTACTCCTGAAGTAGAAACCAAAGAATGATGATAGAGTTAATGAAATAATTTCAAAATATGGGATACTGGTCTGAAACTTTTACGATGTTTCTCGAGCCTTAGCCTTTTGCGTAACTCAGCGATCCTGAAAGTTGGATTGTATTATACGTGTAGTACTTAATGGGACTATGTATTTTCACCTATCTTTTCAACTACTGCAGCTCTCCCTCAAATATTACGTTATTACGATTTTTGCATTTAATAATAATAGAAAAAAAATATTGCCTTCCTTTAATTAATAAGTACGTACCTACCTACTACTTAATTTACATTTGCCTTGAAATGGTTGTTAACGTGATAGGGTACAAAGAACACTCTTATGGGAACAGATCTCAATAATTTTTATTTTTCATAATTTAGGACGTAGCGTTTCAAGATGTCGGTAGAAAGTCCATATTCCCAATGGCTTTTACAACTTATGATACTAATAAGATTTAAGCGGTGAGTTCTTCGGGGAGAACGACCACTGGGCTGGGGATGATGGGGGTGCCGATCACGATGGGCTGGGGCTCCACGGGGGTGGGCAGAACGGGGGTGGGCAGCTCGATGGGTTCGGGCACGATCACGGGGGTCGGCAGCACGGGTGTAGGCAGCACAATGGGTGCGGGGACCACGGGAGCAGCCTCAGCCTCGTCGACGATGACGATGGGAGACGCCTCGACGGTGTTGTCGGCTTCATCAACAATCATGATGGGGGAAGGCACGATCTCAGGGGTGGAGATGACTCCGGGGGCGACGGATCCAGCGTCGGAGGACTTGATGTTCAGGATGATCTGGACGAGGGGGGCAGCGGGCGCGGCGGGGGCAGCGGGCACGAACCCGTCGATGAGAGCGGGTCCGATCGAGATGGGTTGGAACTCGTCGATCAGGGCAGGGTCGACGTCGATGGGCATTTCAGGGGCAGGCACGGGGCCGGCGGGACCGGGGATGACGAGGCCGGGGATTTCGGGGGCGGGGACGGGGCCAGCGGGGCCGGGGATTACGAGCTCGGGGACAGCGGGTGCGGGGACGGGGCCTGCAGACTCGGGAACCACGACGGGGGCGGCTCCGGCGAGGCCAGGCATCACCAGACCGGGCATGGGGCTGGCCACGGCCACAGCGATGAGGGCAGCAGTTACTAGCAGGAATTTCATTTTGGCTGCAAAGAAAAGTACGATTAGCAATTAAAAATTTCGAGTATCTCTTTTCAATAAGATTTTGATCACTTTTACTCTTCAAAATCATGCAGTTAGTTAAGTCTTTAAAGTATCTTTTGTAAAATCACGCGACAAAGAAACAAAATTATCATATTGTAAATATACAAGTTACATGATTTTTGAATCTGATTTCTCAGAGTTGAAACTGAATTTGAAATTTTGAATAACAAATTAATACACACCGTTGGTTCTAGTTGTAAAAACAAACTATGCCAATAAAGTGATGTCCCGGTATTTTATATCGACCGTTATCGATAGATACTGCAAACAACCTCCGTCGCCAGTTGTATGGTAATCAGTTTATTTATTATTTTCTTAATATGACTTAATCCCAAAGACCAAAAAAGATAAAAATTGCTGACTAAAACTAGGAGGAAGTTTTGGAACAAAATGATAATAAGCACATCTGAAAAAGGTAAAAATAAAAACATCACAATAAGTTTCCTTATAGTTCTAGGAAAAGTGCCAACAACTTATATCTTCAGAATTTCATCAGGGAATCTTAAATCAATATAATTGTATCACGATCCTCCACAGATTGAATCATAAACGGTCTTATTCATAATCATTTTTCACATTTTATCAAATGCTTAATAGAGGTTTATAAAACGTTTGATAAAAATTGTTATTCATAATCGTCATTTAGCGCTAAAATCCTCTTTTATCTGTGTGATAAGTTATCGAGAGCTCGGGCCTTGTTTAAAGCTCTAATAAACCTATTTTAACCTAACTTTTATAAATGTCATTTCATATGAATGTCACTTCGTTGGTTTATTTATTCAAAATATCCTTGCTGTGATCCTTGCTTGTGAAAATGAATGCTATAAATGCAATTGTGCATTTAGCCAATAATGCNCCGAAAGGCTTTTATGAGTTAAGTTTATTTACCTTACTTGGGAAACTTACAGGTACATTAGATATATTTCGGTATGAAGTCTAATATCCATAATTCCATATCTTTTCTGGCTCTCAGTTCAACCTATTAAAGTCGACAGTAAGTAAACCTATAAAAATGCCTCAATCTTCCTGCACATAGAGATCATCCTTGGTTTTAGAAGGTCATTTAGGTCTACCAAATAATCTACCGGTTACAGTGAGCTGCCTGTAGCCAAGGAGTTTCAGGCAAAAGAACTTTGACGTCACAAAACTAACGTCACAGTCTGCCGCAGGAAGTAAAAGTCACTATCTGAATTTATAGCTTTATTGCGCGCGATAAAGTTAATGCTAATTCCTTAAACCACGTTTATCGAACGAGGGATATATTAAATTTATTGCCCCAGACGGTAGTAAACACAAACTGTACCTATACACAGGAACATACGAACGATTCGTGTATATTGGATTGATTATTATTGAGCAATACAATAACAAGTTATTTGTAATGAGCATGCACCAAAGTGTGGGAATGATTAAATCGAATCAATGTTATTTTATTGTCTTCTAGATTGATGTCTAGGATTTTACCTTACCTCAAAGAATTTTAGGGACCAATAATATTGCGTCTAAACGAATTTTATCATTTTCCGCCTCATCTGAAAATATAATGGTGAACCCACAATAAAACATTCACCAATATGAAAGACGATCATGGAGGAAATGTACAAATTCTTTGTCAAATTTTAATAATGTGTACAATTCTTAGTTTATAGGTAGAAAAGTGACGATAATTACCTATTTAGAAGACGACTTAAAAACATTTGAAGGTTTAACTTGACTAGGTATGCATAAAAACAATATTTGTTGTGTATTCATGAAGAGCACCTAGGTTATGTAAGTAAATGCATAAAAAAATCTTAGCCGCGACATGACGTTTACAATTTGTTTCTTGACTCGGAATATATCATCTCAGTATGTTATGATAATAATTATTTGCACATAAAACAGTAGCTTTGTCGTATAGGTAACATGTCCATCGAATCTTAATTTAAAAAGCTTAGTATTATTGACTGGACTTAAAGTTGCAGTGTAGCAGGAAGGCGCTGGACGCAGGCCGCTACCAACAGGGCGATATGTGGAAATCATTGGGGAGGCATTGGATGTTCAGCAGCGGACGTAGGTGTGGCTGAAATGGTGATGATGATGTTAATGACTGGACTCTAGCTAGTGGCATGAGGCAAGCTAAACAGAAGTTAGCATTGCTCTTGCCTAGCTTCGAAATTCAAATTGGTAAAATTTATAGCATTCAAACATTGATCAGTAAGAGATAGTAAATCTAAATCATCTATTGACTTCGATTGAAACGGATTAATTTATTATCTACATGTGGATTATTACTTACAATAGTAAGTCACGTGTCATCCAAAATGTATTTTATCATATGAAACGCTTTCCTCTTGTATCGTTTACTTAGGTTGTTACATCTTCTTTCAGTTTTTTTAGTTCCAAACTAGTTAAGCAAAGTTTGTGTCATGATGTGTAGTAGGTACTAGACGACGGATATATAACAAGCTTATATCCTTTTTATGCAAATACATACCACACAGTTATACATAGAATTGCACCCAGAAAACACAAAAAGACATGTTTTGCACACAAATGTTTGTATTGTTCTGGGATTGAACTTGCGACCTCTGGCATAGCAGAAAGCAGAACGCAAACTACTAGGTACATACATAACAGTGTATTGGTAAAGCCTCTAGCTAGATGACAGATAATTATAGTTTATGTAGAGATAGCTGTATACAGGTCAGACAGGTCATAAAAAGTACGTCATTGATTGTTATGTAGGTAAAGTAAGTAAATGTAAAACATGAAAACCAAACATAGAGCTGCCAATGGTATTGAACAGGTCGCGGGTTCAGTGCTAGGTCTACAAAAAGTAAATTAAGATTTTATTTATTAGCTTACGAATTAAAGGAACGCACTTGAAGTTGTTACTTACACTTATCGTCAATTTCAGTATTTTTAGAAAATTTTCGGTTAGTTTGTAAAGAAAGTCCATAAAAACTTTAACAAACAATTCGTCGTTTGTTGTAGTTTCAAAGTAAGTAAATATTTTTTGAAAAACAACCACGTTTCGGAAATCATTAAAGAAACACTCGTTTATTCTGACTGGAGCGTTAAAATAACAATAATATTTAAACAAAAAAGTAATTATGATTCTTAAGGCTTTACGACAAAAGTTAAAGTTCAAATTTAGGCTGAGTTGCACCGCCTATCTTTAACAGTAACTATAACGATAACCAGTGTATTTAGTATGGAGGTTGACAGATTTTTGAAGTTTTACAATGGAGATTTCATTTTAAACAAGTGTTCAACGCGTGTTTACTTCTTGTGGTTCCTCACCACAACCTTCTGGTTGGCATCCAGGAGCCGAGCAATCGCCCTTTTGATCGTTATCTTGAGTTTGCGGAATATTCTTATCGAAACCGGCGTAAATCTTTTGATATAATTATAGTGCTATAAAAAAATAGTAGTGTCATATATTTCAAGACAATTAGATTTAGATTCGATAATGTTTTAGTATAAAAGCCTGACAACAAATCAACTAATCATAGTTTTCTAATAGAAACTTCAAAAGTAAGTAACTCTTCAACAATAACTTGGAACTATAATAGTTCTGTGGGAAATTGTGTTCATAATTGTGTTTACTTGCAGAAGCAGCATCATGAAATTCTTCGCAGCCTTCGCTCTGATAGTCGCCGTGGCCTCGGCCGCCGTGATCCCCTTCACCCCGGCTCAGATCGCCGAGATCGAGCAGATCGTTGAGGCCATCCAGAGCCCCAGCACCAACCCCGCCACCGCCGCCGCCCTCGAGCAGATGCTCCACGACCTGCTCGGCTCCAGCGTCGCCGACGTCATCGCCAGCCCCATCCTCGTCCCCGCCCAGCCTGAGTTCGAGCCCATCAGCATCGGACCCGTCATCGTCGACCAGCCCTCTATCGTGTACCCCACCCCGGTCATGCCGATCGTCGTCCCCGAGCCCGTCGCTCCCGGCCCCATCGTGGTCCCCNTTAGGACGAATTATTAATATTTATGTAGGTATACCATGATTGATACTTTTGGAGTCGTTGCAGGCAAACTTTACATGTTTCATAATCTTGGCACCGACTCCAGAAGTATCAATCATGGTATACCTACATAAATATTAATAATTCGTCCTAATAAATAAGTAGGTAATTAGTAATTATTTTTCTACTTTTTAGTGTAGGTTTTTTGGAGTCGGTTTTTTTTTTTTTATAAAATTTTATTAAAATATCTAAATATTTGGTAATAAGTAGGATTATAGCTATAATACTTCGTTATCTTAAAGATTAATATTCATCCTTCAAAATTGTGTTTTTTTTTTGTGTGATGATTTATAAATATAAAACTTTTGAACTGTTTCAAAGCACACTTTTTTTTTTTTCAAAATGTAAATTTTTTTGAGAAATACTCATTAATTATTTTTACATACAGGATTGGCAAACATTTTTAGGCTGATGCAAAAATAAACTTCTAGGGATATTAATTTATGATTGAACTCAATAAAAAAAACAGTTCATATAACAAAATATTAATTCTTCTTAGCTACACAAACTTTTTATAGGGAGGAATAAGAATAACAAAACACGATTAAATTGAGGATAATTTATTACATAAATACAAACTATTTAAAGGCAACTAATTATTTATCCTATCTGCAACAAACTTACTTTCTTGGGGGAAATTGTCTTAAAAGTTGGTTCATTTGTCTATGAGTTAAGGTCTTTTCCCCTGGGACTAGTATTCCCTTCCTGCCTTGTTCTCTCTGGAGTTTTAGTCTCTCATTGTAATCATTGTAGCAGGTTTGAAAGGCAGACACCTCCTTCAAACATTCTTGCTGATTGAACTCACTTTTCTTAAAACACGCAAACAACACAGCCATTTCTTGCATACAAGCAGCTTCTTTTGATCTATCCCCTTTTCCAGATACAAATTTTCTTAACTCTAGGGGTAAGAGCATTTTAAAGGGAACTGGCTCTACTTGCGGTCTCCTCGCATTTGTCCTGTTTGGGGCGGAAGATAGAACCTGAGTCAACCTCATTTTTATGAGATTTTATTTAATTTTGTGTAATTTTCTACTATTTTGTTTTTTGCGACTTCCAAAAGTGAGGTTAGAAATTTTGACATTGACATTTAGTGATTTGACACTTTGTTTTTTTATGAAATGTCATTTTAAACAAAGATAACGAAAATTATATTTTGGGTTTTAGAAATAATCAACCCATTGATCAGAGAAATATTGTGTCAAAATCTGTGAGATATTGTTAACAGATTTGTACAAATTAATGTTTTGATACCGGATAAATTTACATAGTTGAAGGTATCCGGCTCTCCAGCGCGTGTTTTGCCGTGCTGAAACGGATAATACACAATCAACAAAAACATGCCACACGATAGCTGAACGGTGGCTGACTCGTGATCCGAGGAATGCAGGATAGAATCCCGCCCCTTGACTATTGTGGTTTGTGTTTTTTTTAATCAGCTTTAAGGATTTCGGAGGAAGTTCGCTTTCACTTGCGGCCATGCCTCTGCGGCTTGATCATAATTTTCCATCAGAGATGCAGGCCAGAACTTAAAGTTGTGGGTAAAAAAACCTTTAATAAACTAAGCTTTTAGGATACTTACCCTACCTATTCTCAGAAACATAAAGAAATAACATAAAAATATATGAACAATCGCATTTTATCAACATATTAAATAACATTTAAGTAATCACATTTTTTTAGTGGATTACTTAGGCCTGAAAATGTAACAAAGAAAATTACTTTGTACTTGTCATTAATTAATCATTAAGGTTAATTATTTTATCACACGTGATTAGTAAAATCCTTGGACACTGCGCCGCTAGCCAAACCAAATTATGATAGGCTTGTATTGTAGGAACATTACCTATTAAGGATAGGTACCTACTCCAGACAACGCATTATTAACATTCAACATACTTATGTAGATAAAAACACCACCAGACCAATACATACAAACAAATATGTGCATACATGTACGTACCTATACAAAATTAAATGTTTGTACTGTGCGTGCGAGAATCGAACCCGTGACCTCTGGCATAGTATGGTACAACTCAGTGAGTTTTATTGTTTTATAGATAGTAAGTAATCTACATTCATAATAAAAAAAGAGGAAATATTTCTTTGTTTCTATTGAATAGGCTCCGAAACTACTGGACCGATTTAAAAAAATATTTTCCGTCATAAACATAGGATAAATCGAATATGGATGGTTAAAGACATTTTGTAATTGACCCAATTAACGCGGGTGAAGTCACGGGCAAAAGCTAGTAGTGAAATATAATCACCAGTTTTAGTTAAGACTATTAGTTATATCTGGATTTTTTTATAACCTTGTCCATTAATTACCTACTGTTAAGTATTGTCACTAAAGAGATATCGTGATCATTCATAACTACTTATAAATATCGCGAAGCATTAATTTTAAATCATAATTAAGTACGAGTTAACGATAGCCGTAAAATATGTTTGTGAACATTGTATTCGGCTTCCTAGCGGTGCTTGTGGCGTTATTCTATTACTCAACGAGAAAGTTCAATTACTGGAAGAACAGAAACGTACCTTATCTCAAGCCGACGCTTTTATTCGGCAACTATGGCGACCTATTCCTTTTCAGAAAAAATATGAGTGAGGTAGGTCAAAACATCTGCAAACAATTCCCAAAGGAACCCTACATTGGAGCGTTCTTTGGCACGGAACCCACGCTCATCGTCCAAGACCCCGAGTTCATTAAACTCATCACAACAAAAGACTTCTACTATTTCAACAGCAGAGAACTATCAGATTTTGTTCACAAGGAAACCTTCACTAAAAATATTTTCAATAACTACGGAGACGACTGGAAAGTAGTGCGTCAAAATCTTACTCCAATATTCTCATCAGCAAAAATGAAGATGATGTTCCCGCTCATCGAAACATGCTCCCACACTTTTGAACAGTTGCTCGACATGGAGACCAGCTTGTCTGACGTCATCGAAATAAGGGCGCTCATGGCCAGGTACACCATGGCTGGCATCACCTCCTGCGCGTTTGGTGTCGACTCCCACACCATGAAAGGTGATTATAAAACTAACCCCTTCACACAGGCAGGGAAGACGATATTAGACGTTGGATCCAAAAGAGTATTTTACAGGAATCTCGTAAGAGCTATTTGGCCAACGATTTTCTACGGATGTGGACGGACGTTCATGCCACCCGTTATGGAAGTGTTTTTCCGCCGATTTATGGTGTCAGTCTTCGAAGCACGAAAGTATAAGCCGACCAACAGAAATGATTTTGTCGACTTCATATTGAATTTTAAGCAGAAGAACTGTATTGTTGGCGACAGCATCGCTAATTTAAAAACTGGCGCAGACATTAAGAAAGTATCAGTGCCAGTGACTGATGACTTTTTGGTGGCAAACTGTTTGATATTCTTCCTGGCTGGATATGAGACGTCTGCTTCTACTCTGACCTATACCATGTATGAACTTGCGAAGAGTCCAGAGAATCTGAAGCGAGTGCAGAAGGAAATAGATGAGTATTTAGTAAAAAACGGTAACAAGTTGGAGTACAACTGCGTGACTGAACTGCCGTTCACACATGCGTGTGTTGATGAAGCCCTGCGTTTATATCCAGTGCTTGGGTTGATAACGAGGGAGGTTGTGGAGGACTACAATCTCCCGACTGGTGTTCACCTCGACAAAGGAGTTCGCGTGCACTTGCCGGTCTACCACCTGCATCACAACCCTGAATTCTTCCCGGAGCCTGAGGTGTACCGTCCTGAGCGGTTTCTGGGAGAAGAGAAAAACAAAATACTTCCTCACACTTACATACCCTTTGGCGATGGTCCACGTACTTAGGTGTATAGGTGAGTTTTTATTCACTAAATCATCAATTTCTTTAGTACATAGTTACATTAATTATTTTATTTTGACTGTGGTTTTAGCAAAATCCTATTCTTTAATGCCCTACCTACTCTCAGCCCACTTGTATTTTGAGCCGAATCTGCCGAATTTGAAAATAATATTATTCTCTGACAGAGTTCAAACTATTCATAAAAATGTTTGTACAATAACAACAATTTAATCTTTCAGGCATGAGGTTCGCAAAAATGCAAATGTTCGCTGGTCTGGTGACTGTTCTGAAGAAGTACAACTTGGAGCTGACTCCAGAAACGCCAAGGAAGCTGGAGTTCGTGCCGACTTCCTTCATCACGCAGCCCACCAAGCCTTTGAAGATCAAGTTCAGCATTCGGGAGGGATGGGAGAGCCGCACTTTTGTTAAAACACAATAATTCGGTTTCTTAGTGGTTTACACATAGGACTTTTATTGTTCTTGGGTTAGATCTCTGCACAAAATTAAAAGAACTAGGGAACTGAAAGAATTTCATATTGAAACAATCAACTGTAAAGTCACTATTGTTACAGAGCGTTCTACATACTTGCTTGCCTGTTAGAGTCTTAAAAAGATTATGCGCTTGATAATTTTCACAAGGATTTTATAATGTATCTTTTTTTTAAAGCATTTAGTAAAGATAGTATATAAAGATATCTTTCATCATTGCATTGAAAATTGAAGTCATATCTTTTAGTATCTATACCTACCTACTTCTAATGCTTACGGCTCTATCTACTTAGGACTTTTTGAGAATCTGTATAAGCCGTATTGATAAATTGTTCTATTACGTGTAATTTGTGTATATTTCGTAAAGTAAGTAAGAATCTGCTAAAGCTAAGTTAGTACCTTACATACGAGTAGTTAGCTTTAAACCTATTAATACAACATTAAATAACTGTTTACACCTAGGTACCTACTAAGTATTGTTTTACTTTATCCTTAATTTCGAAATCGTCTAACATGAACTTTCAGCACTCATCTAAGGTGTTCAACATACCTACACTTTCGTTTCACATGATGAACATTACATTATTTACCTCTCTGAGGTTCATGGAACACTGCCTTATACAAATTACGTAAGACCTAATTACAATACACGTGGAGACGTCGCTTCTGTTGAACGACTTGTCGTGCAGGGGAAGGTCGAGGGCCCAAGAGCGCGCGGCAGCAGGTCGCCCTTGCGCTGGATTGACCAGGTCAAAACCGCACTCAATGGTCCACTCCACGAGTGCACAAGAAAGGCTGCAGTGCGGGAGGAATGGCGACGGATTGTGAGGCTTGCCACTGGACCAGTGGGCTGAGAGTGAGTTTTAAAAAATGTATGAAAATTTTAGTTTTCGAATGTTTCCCGGTAGGGGCGCTGTAAAATCAGTCATACATTTTAATGTCATTTTTTGACGCGCTCACTAGTGAGCGCGTTTGATGAAAACTCACACTAGGCCCTCTGGTATGACAACCACGACCACTCTCCAAGAGTGTAGCGACGAAGAAGACCTAATTTCCGTATGAGATAACCAAATACCTAAGTAAAGGTTACCAAGAAGGCGCTGAATGCAAGTCGCTTCCAGCCGACCAATCTGGAAATTATTAGGGACTACAAGTTAGCAACTAAGTAGGCTTGTTCAGCAGTGGACGTCCTATGGCTGAAATTATGATAGTGATGATGATGATGAAGGTCCTGTGAAGAGTCGAAATCAATTTGACCTTCATTCTGTAATACGCAGAGACTTTTGAAAAACCGACGAAATAAGTCGCGTTTAGCAGGTAGGTAGAGCTTACACAATTTTATTGAACGCTTTCAATACGAAGTTATCCATTATTATAGTCTATAATTTATCTTTATTAACAAGGTAAAATTAGAGGACGACGAGACGATGAGAGGAACGACCTAATAAATAAATAAATAATAAATACGGGACGTCCACCCACAAGGTGGACCGACGACCTGATAATGGTAGCAGGAAGGCGCTGGATGCAGGCCACTATACCAACCGTGCGATGTCGAAGTCATTGGAGGACGCCTATGTTCAGTTGTGGACGTCCTGTGGCTGAAATTATGATATTGATGATGATGATCTTCCCTTAAGGTACACCCACAGAACTGAGATAGGTTCTTAGTGTTAAGATTTATTATAATTTACCACTCTACCACATTACAAAGGTGCTGCTTAGGTAGGTATATATTACAAAGGTTCTAACTTAGGTAAGTACACGTTACA